GACACTCAATAAGGAATGAGCAAAACTGGCCTTAAAACTCAGCTTTTCTGTGAAATTCTAATGGCAGGAAAAGCAGTCTCTGGATATTGTTTGCTCAGCAATGGACTGAGAACGCAGATTCCACTGAAGGATCACTGGAGAGTTTGTTTCAATCAGGCTACTAGAATCATCAGATCATTTAGGTTGGGAAGCCCTTTAAGATCAAGTCCAAGTGTTGGCCCAGCACTGCCAAGCCCCCTGTTAAACCATGTCCCCAGGTGCTCTACACCTACATGTGTTTTAAATCCCTCCAGTGACTGTGATTCTAAAAGTTCCCTGGGCAGCCTGTTCCAACACCTGACCATCCTTTCTGTGGAGAATTTTTCCTCACATCCAATTTTAATATTCCCTGGCCCAGCCTGAGGCTGTTCCCTCTCCTCCTGTCCCTGTTCCCAGGAGCAGAGCCTTACCCCCCTGGCTGTCCCCTCCTGTCAGGGAGTTGTGCAGAGCAAGAAGTTCCTCCTGAGTCTCCTTTTCTCCAGGCTGAGCCCCTTTCTCAGCTCCCTCAGCCACTGCTCACAGGACTCGAGCTCCAGACCCCTCCAGACTTTCACATCCCAAGGATTCCAGAAAGGCTCCTGGCTGCTGAGTGTTTGCTGCAGCCCATCAGAGTAATGAAAGGTAGCAAAGCATCAGTGGGTGATGAGGTATTAAAAAACACTGTTCAGTCCTTGACTTTGATGTGAACGTTCCAAATGTAATTAATGGTTCAACCAGGCTGAAATAAAAATACAGCACTTGCACAGTGAAATCCCAGAGACTGCAATTTTCCTTTTGTGGGTTCAAGACTCATTTCAGTAGACCTGTGGCAGCTGTTTTGCTGTTTAAGCTTCTTAAGAATTTCCTTTTTTTTTTTTTCCCCCGAGTTCTTAGGACGCATAGAAAATGTTATTTCAAGGTACATAGTTTACACCAATATCTGATCTCCTAAGTATTCAAATTGGGCTGTTCAGTTTCTATCTTGCTTTGGTGGGTATCTTTGTATAATTGAAGCTGAGATATGTATTAGCAGCTTTTATTCCGCTAGCCAAGTGCAAAGTTAGTACTTTTCAGATATTTTCTTGTATTATTTGGACGCTATCATTTCAAGAATACAGAAATGGAGGCATTTGTCCAGTTTCAAATATCAGCACTACCACTGTACATGAATTATAAATTTTCCTTATCTTTTGGAAGAAAACATTATGAAAAAGGTGATGTTAGACTGGTCCCAGGAATAGCTACAGGCCTTTTGAGACTGAATACTCACAGAGCTAACAGGCAGAAGGAGTTATACAAAGAGGACAGTAGGACCATTGCCCTTTCAAAACAACAATACAAAATCTCATCCTAGAAAAGAAAATTTCAATAGCTTCTGCTGTGGAAGAAATCAGTGTGGCAACAGGAAAACATTTTCAAATTATATAGCCTCAGTATGCAGAAATAAAGGAGATTGAAACCAAGAGAAGAAAACTGGAGAGAATACAAAGCTTTCCAGGGCCAGCTTCTATTTGTTGATTTAATTTCAGTTTGGTTTCTCCCTCTCTGAAACGAAAATTTAAATAGTTTTTACTTACTTATTCTCCCTCTACTTAAAGATCTAGACAGCCACCAGATGTCTATCTCTACACTTGCAGGGACACCTCAGGACATGGTTATTTGAGACCTGGTTTAGGACTGTCAGCCTGAGAACAGATGGTTCTTGGGAAAAATATGGTGTAGTGAGGTCTGCACTATGGATTTTACCTTCCTGCTTTGTAACCAAATTCCTCTGTGGTTCACAGGCTGGTTATTCAATCAGAGACTCTTTCAAACTGTGTGTGTGATGGAGCTTTACAGCATTTACAACAAAGTTTTGAGCAGAATTAGAAGCTGGTTATGAGAAGCTTCTAACACTTAGAGGTTGGGGTAGGAAGGGAAAAGGCAAATGTGGACAGGATAAGAAAGGAAGTTAAAAACTGCAGGAAATCTTCCCTACCCAGCTTTGGGCAAGTGACATGGTGAGGTGAGGATCAGGTTGTTCCTAATTCACAGGTACAGTCAGAGCATCTGACATCCATTAACCAAACACCCTCTAATTGCTAATTCACTCTATAACATGACCGATTTAAGGCAAATAATTGTAATAAAAAAAAATAGAAGTGGTATAAAATTACCATGGTGGTGAATTGTCATTTTCAGCTGCATTATTGCATTTTTGTGAAATGTTTTTTGCCTCATCTCAAACATTCTGAGTTTGTTGGGCTCTGCAGTTGAGTGCTTGGTGTAATGCAAACTTCAGCAGGGTAAATATCTGCATTTACTTTTGTTTTTCTTTCCTTTGGATGCATCTTGGAATGAGGCTTGGGATTACCTTGCTGTTTCAGAAGCTGAATATTTTCAGATAACCATTCTTTTGCTGACCTAATTTATCTGTACAATTCATCTGCAGAGACATAAATTTCAGGGATTTATAGAAAATGAATGCTTATTCATTTTCTATAAATTCATGCTAGGTATATATGTGTATATTCATGCATAAAATTTTCCTAATTTCTAAACCAATCTTTTTGTTGTTGTTGTTGTTGTTTGACACAGAGTTAAAGATTCACTTTTAAGAGGTGTTTTCTGGATGCTGAGGGATTGACATGATTTGTAGGGAAGCCTAAACCATTTGCTAGCTTTAGACCCCTGGTCTTTTAATATCCATCCCATTTCCAAAGTGTCTGCACATGTGAATATCTATAAAAAGATGCAAATGCTTTCCCACTGCCAGTCCTTAGGGGATTTTTAGCAGTAATACAGAATGTGCAGGTTGTTAAAATGTATTTTCTGCTTGTGCATGAGTAGATTGAAGTCAGCGTGGCTGGTTCGTGCTTTACTTTAAAGAATTACTAGAAGGGGTTTTTTACACTTTAATTATCTCTCAAAGAGGTGTGACTGGTATTCAGGAATCCTTCCAACTTTTTTGTTCCCATGAAAACATTTTTTTCTTAGGTTGAAGTAATGAGAGACTATGAGAAGAGGGAAGAATCCTGAACTGCGATATAAATTAACGAACTTTATGTGAAATTATGTATTTTCTGATTACCTCGTTCAGATATATATTGAGCAAAAGAGCAAATAGCAGTTGAAGAAATGTCAGATAAACAAACCCTGACATCTGTAGAATTTTTATGGTCTGACTTATCTCAAACACTGATTTTACTCAGTCATCCTTCATTCTTTATATCTACATGTGTAGTGGCACATGCATTTATATTTTATATAAAGGGCAGAGTCTAGTCAGAGCATTTGAGTTAGGCTGTTAAAAATAAATTAAGGAACAGCAGGTGAAAATGATTCCTCCACATGAATATTCAAAGTTTACCTCAGCCACATACTGTAGAAAGAATAATAAAGAGCAAAGAAACTTTGATGGGACCAAGGCACGGAGATGATCTGAAATTAAACTTTTATTGGCACCAGCTTGAGACAACTCAGAAAACATACTCAGGAGTGGCAGGATCTGCCTGTACACCTCATTGCCAGAATATCCAGGATGTTGGAATGGCCAATCCACGATGATCCCTTAGTCTTGATTCTTTCACTCTGGGGCTTCAGTGTGAGCAGAGTGGGTTTGGAGGTGGCAGGAGGGTGTAGGGGCCATGGAGCTGAATTCTAAGCTGAGACACCTGAATTCATTCCTTCCCCAGGAACCATTTCATGTGTGTTTGCATCACTTAGGGCTGGACTCACCAAGGTCATTAAGCACTGTCAAGCAGGCCATCAGCTACTATTATTTTACATTTTTTTTCTTTGTAAGAATGAAGAAAGCACGACTTCCCCACTCCTTACCTGATAGAATCCTATGGGAATAAATCACACGGTGATTTATTCATGGTAGAAAAAAGCCATTCTTTATTCACAGAACTCCTTTTTATACAGTTTTACAGATCTCGTGTGTGATTCCAATTGGTCAGTAGCTTTCTTTGCAATTACTTTTGTTGGTTAGTAACAAGTTGTTATTCTGTATTGATTGGTCACTCAAACCCCCAGGGTGTACATGCAGGAAAAGTTGTTTGTGAGAGATAGCTTTAATTTTTCTATCTAACTGTGTAAAACCAGTTTATACAGGTGCTGGGGTTTTTTACCCAGGAATAGATGGTTATGCTAACAAACTAACAAACTGCTCACAACAGGATTGCTTTCACATGGGAACTTGCAAAATGTTAGTTTTGACAAGGGCAACCACTGATTCTAGGAGAGCAGCCTTGGTTTTATGAAGCCTTTCTTTATGATTTTTCTACCTTACTGCAACAGAATCCTGTTGCCACTGTTGAATTCAGTGAGATTTCACAGGAATCAGGAGCATCGTCATGATGGATGAGTAATGTGATGATTGACTCTTACAATTAAAAGGCAAATATCCTGTGTATAGGTTAAGAGAAGTTTTATAGATTTATAGTTATGTTTTACCCTTCCCTGTGTTGTTATCAGGGGTGGCCTGAGTTCAGGACATTTGGGAGGGTTGGCTCATTACTATGGCAGCACCTGACCTGCAGTCAAGATTTAAGGCAGTGAACTCCACCACTGGACAGTGAAGAAGGAGATAATGGATGGAACTTTGGGAGGGGCTAAAGCGTTCAAAGGTGAAACCTCCATTGTGTGGGTGAGCACATGGTGGGGAAAATCCTTTGCTCCTCGTAATATTTTCTCTATTCAGTCTTCTGTTGTATTTTTGATAAGGTTTTAATAAACCTTTCTAAATTTTTGGAAGTGAGTAGCATTTTTCACATAACCACTGTTCAGGGTCTTGTGACAGGAAATTTCCAGGCAAAACTCAGGAGCAGAATGCAGCTGTGGATCCAATGTTCATTTCCCAACCACTTTGTACCTTGTACATACAAGAACATCCAGAACTGCGGAGTGCTGGGATACTCACACATGGAATGAAGTGTGTTAATGATGGCTGCCTTGATTAAACATCACATTGTGTTTCTGTTTCTTCTCCTGCTCCCCAGACCCCGTGCACGGGCCGCAGAACGTGGAGGTGGTGGACATCCGCTCGCGGCAGCTGACACTGCAGTGGGAGCCCTTCGGCTACGCCGTGACGCGCTGCCACAGCTACAACCTCACCGTGCACTACCAGTACGTCTTCAACCAGCAGAAATTCGAGGCAGAGGAGCTCATCCAAACTTCTTCTCACTACACCCTGCGAGGGCTCCGGCCCTTCATGACCATCAGGCTGAGGCTGGCTCTCTCCAACCCCGAGGGCAGAATGGAAAGCGAGGAGCTGGTGGTGCAAACTGAGGAGGATGGTAAGTTGTGGTGGGGTTGGTTGGTTGGGTTTGGAGGGAAGAGTAGTCTTCAAGTTGTGAATAACAGCATAACCCTCTGTCCTACAAGAATAGTGCAGCTTCTCTAGACAGTGTGTCTGTTTTGAGTGTAAAACTTGCAGGTTTAGATGATTTCCATTTCACAACCGTGTTCTTGAAAGGGTGAAGGTTCCTGAAGTGCTGGGGCATGACAGACACCAGTCTGAGCAGCTGTTAAAGAGCTGTAGGTTTAATTTTTCATGTTCTGAACCACCCAGCATCTTCCTTTGTCGTGTGGGCAAATGCAATCCTGTATTTATTGATTTTTCTTGTGCCTTCACAAAAAAGAAGGCATCCAAAAAAAAAAATGTATAGTTCCTTATTTTCCAGAGTGTAGCTTTTCTTAAAGGTGATCTTCTGGACATCACATTTTATAGAGAACTCAGAAGCAAAATTAATTGTGGGTATAAAAGAATGGTTGTGGATATAAAAGAACAGTTTTCTAGAGGAATTGATAGAAAGCTTCAAAGTGTTGTCATCCCACTGGAGCTATTTCAGACCAAGGACTAAATTCCTCTGCCTGGGCTGTACAAGTTACTGCCCTGAGATTCTCTTAGCTGAAAGTGGCTCCTCCAACCCCATATATCACATGGGGAGACACAAAAGGATGGCAAATATTTCAGAAAAATGAGCAGGGTTTTTATCAGACAGGCTTGGGAGTGCATTTAGTTGGTTATCTCCCATGGCATTAACATTTTGCTGGAGTAGGTGGATTTTTTTGAGCTGGCCTTGTAGCTGTAATGAAATATAAATCTTGCATTGTTACTTTACTAAGCAAATCAATCTTTGCTATGGATAAAGGTGTGCAGCCCCTTAGCATCTCCATGCCAAGGTGCAGTCTGGCTGTTTAGGTGGAAAGTTCTGCTGTTGTGTGGGTGGAGAAGGACAAATTAAATTCCCTGCTGCTGCTCTGCTGTACTGGAATAAAATCATACTGAAATTAGCATCATATTTTCATGGATTCTGATTTTATTTGTCACTTAGTGGTTACATTAGGGTATTGTTATTTGAACCAAAAGTTGATAAATAAGCCTTTCACATTGATAGTAGCTTGGTAATGGTAGTGCCTTGAGGGATTTTAATTTTTAATTTAATTTATTTATTTTTAACATTCTGTTTCCTGTCTGATGGCCTTTTGGTGTCTCATGTGTGTGCAGCTGGAGCTGGTGGAGTTTTTAACACGGTTTGTCTGGGTTTTTTTCCCCTGCAGTTCCTGGACCCGTTCCCTTGGAATCTATCCAAGGGGGACCTTTTGAAGAGAAGATCTACGTTCAGTGGAAGCCTCCAAATGAGACAAATGGCATCATTACACTCTATGAGGTGAGAAGAACAGATTGTTGTCAAGGAATACGTGCCACAGGGCCCTTTTCGTGTGTGTTTAAGCCAATCCTGAGCTCTGAGAGATCTCAGCCGGTGCTAAGAGAAGCCTGATTAAAATAGATAAGAATCTTCAAGATAGTCTGTTGCTACCACTGAAAAAAATTCCCAGTTCAAAAAAGAGAAAGATTTCTTTCCAATATTTGTGGCAAATTGAGAGCCACACATTTCCCCATGTCTCAGATGCCCTGTTTCCTTGTGCAGTAGCTCCAAGGTCTGTTTGTTTTCCTTTTTTTTTTCTTCTTGAGGTAAAACACTGCTAGGTTTTATACCTACACACAGTAACTGATTCCTCTTTGACTTCCACCTGTCACAGCACTTCCTGACAATATCAGCAGAAAGTAACCATCAACTCTTATCTCTTTTTGAACATTTCATATTTGTCCATCCCAACAATTTATCTGATGACAAAGTAGAGCAGGTTATGGGATGATCACTGACCATCCTGTGCCAGATGAGAAGTAAACAATTTAATGTGATTAAAGAGTTTTTCAGAGGTGGTGTTTCTTGTGAAGCTAAGGAAGTGTTACTGCTGTTACTTGCTCCTGGTGAAACTCTCCATAACATCATGTACACCCAAATATGGGGAACAGGAATGCAAGAGGAGGGACTCTTGAGGGAATCATGTGAAATGAAATACAGTCCTACAAGAGAAGGTAAAGGCACTTGGATTAAATAGCAGAAAGTGGTGCACCAGCACTGGCTGTGTGTGTCAGTTTATGGGTTCAGTATTTACCTCTGTAAGATTAGAGAAAGTAAAAGTAATTTTGTTTTTATGGTGACATAAAACCCCTCACTGTGTCTTGTGCAGCATCTTCTGGCACAGAGGAGCAAGAACCAGTATTTCACTCTCTCCTTTGTGCTTTTTGTACAAACTCACTTTAGAAAAGCCACAGGTGCAAGAAGCAGCTCTGACACCATCAATGAAGTTCTGCCTCTTTCCTCTTCCCATCCAGCCTCTCCATTTGGGACAGAGCGTCCTGTGATATGTCACTCCCAGATGTCCTTACTAGCACTGGCTCTCTCTGTGACAGTCACATGGGAAAAATGAAGAAGGTTTCACATCACTGATATCTTACACTCCAGCATGAGCAATGGATGAAAATTTCTCCTGCAACTTCACTTTTAGGTCATCATTTGGCTCACAAAGGCCAGACTGAGTTTGACACAGCAACACTAAACAGATGAACAGAATTTCCTCTTGCTAATTTAGTGTCATTTCAGCCAAGCTGAAACCCTTGACTAAGTCTGGAGTCATTGTTGGTCACTGTAGAGACACTTACGGAAATGCATGCGGGTGCAAATCATCTGTCAGTGCTAAAATAGAACCAGGCTTCATCATTTCATGGTCTTTGAGGGTGTCTGTGTAAGGAATTAGGCAATAAACCTGGGTGTGTTTTAAAGGAATTAGTCTGAATAGAATGTTACGAGTTCATTTTTTTCTAGAAACACAGGTGACCTATAACAGAACATTAAAATGACCCAAGTCAAATGATGCAAATGATGCAAAAATAACTCCTTTTAATTTTTAAAGAAGCTGTTTCTTACTAAAATATTGCCTTGGGCTCAGCTTGTTGAAAGGACTTCAGCAATCTGAGTAGCTTTTCTGGCAGAGCAGCTGCATGAGACACTTTAATGCCTGCAGGGTTGTGATGCATCATGACAGTGCCTTTGCCCCTGAAGTCATATCATTGCTTGAGTCTCAGAGGAGGCACAAACAAATTTTTCTTTTCTGATAATGACTCTCTGCATATTTGGCAGCTGGAGACAAAGAGAAGTCAAGGTGAATTCAAACTCTTCCCTCTTCCTCCTTTTCCTACTCCCCCCCCACCTCCAAAAGGATGAAGATCTGACTGCTAGAAACACCATGAGAGCCACAGTGCCTGGAAGCTGTCACGATGAAAATGTTGTCTATTCCTGTCCCTCCTTCCATATGAAAATTCCTACAGGAGCTTTCCACTGTCCATGGAAGCCTGAGACAAGTCCATCAGCTGGAGATAAAAATACAGGAGAGCAGCTGCACAACCTGGAGAGGTGGCCAGGGCACTCTCAGGGTGGTGTGCTCTGTTTGGAACGTGGGGATCCCTGCAGATGGAGCCCACACAATTCCTGTACTCTGTCACTGGTGTCACTGGGAATTCTGCTCTGTCCTGGGAGATTCAATGACCTTCCAGTGAATTTGCAGCTCTCTGGAAGCTCTGCAGTTATGTTGCTGTTATTAGGGAGAAAAAACACAGAGGCCTGTGAGCATTTATCAGTGAAAAAAAAAACCCTGCAGAGTATTTATTAAGTATTATCACTTTATGAACTTGAGTTAGTGGTGTCAGGTCCTGCTTTACACCTGGAGGTAGCTGGCTAAATTCACACATAAGAATTGTGCCACTGAGAGTCTCTCAAACCCCTCTGGGCACAAACCGTCCTAATAAAAACAAATAAAACCACACCTTCTCCTCCTAAGTAGTAGTTGCCTCCTCACCATCACCATCACAATCTGATTCATTGTATCTGGATATTGTATTTTTCCTCTAATTCTGTTAAAAAAAATGTTATAAGCTTCTACAATGCTTCAAAATAATCATGCTGTCTATTCTACTTGCATCCCACTTGCTTCCCTTTGGGACTGATTTTCTTCTCAGCTCCCTAATCATTCTTGCAGCTCCCTGCCAGATGTCCCTATAACCCAAATTGCTGTTGCAGTTTTCATATCCACTGCTTGGGTGCCAACTGGGCTGGGATTCAGCAGCACAACCTTCAGCAAGTCTTTTGGCAGCCAGAAGCACTAATTTCATAATGACTGAATACTTCTTAAGAGCCTAAACAGAATGGAAGGACCTTCATGAAGATTTTTGACTTCTGCAAGTCTCTTCTGATGGGTCTTTTTCCTTCCAAATGCTATTGCTGCCTTTTAACAAAGCAAGAGTGTTGCATTTAAAAGTGGTTTAACCCACTCTGTGTTGAGAATTAATTGTTTCACTGGGTACATTAACAGCTGGATTTTTAAACAGAAAGGCCTTTTAGATCCCTTGTAATTGCTATTCTAGATCCTTCTCTAATTGCAGTCTCTTTCTGGAGAGCAGAAACCTCTTGTTCAAGACAACTTGGAAAGCTGTGGGAATTACAAATCAGTGTGCTGGGAAGCTTAGGATATGAGCTGGGCAGAAAGGGAGAATGGAACAGATCATGCTGGGGTGATGCCTTGTGAAAGCTGACCTAGAACAGAGGCTGGATAGAGCTAAAGAATAAAGCAGGGATTTATTAAAAGGCTTCAATGGATCCACCTTGGGCAGCACAAGAGCCCAGCCAGGGCAGCACAACCCAAAATGGTCCCAAAATGGACAAGCGCTCACGGGGTCTCTCACTGTGATCAGTTCTGCTCCATTTGCAGATTGGAGTTCATTGTCCAGTTCCAGCTTTATCCCATGCAGTCCCATCCTGCTTGTTTTTCTCTCTTCAGCCCATGTTGTTTATGCTCTTTGGTCTGAAATTTGGGTCATTTGTCCTTGGTGCCCAGCTAGAGCAGGAAATATTTTGTCTCCCTGCTCTGTGCAGAGAGCTCACCATCCCCTAATATGAAGCCCAGGCCCACACAATAAAGCACCAGAGAATCTGAAAAATATAAAAGCTAAAACCTGAGGCACCAGGGGAGGCCAACAAAGCTCACAGGTGTGTGGTGAGACAGGAGGCGTTAGTCTGTCTGTCCATCAGGAAAGCCAGGGAGAAGCACAGCTACTGTTGGAAGCGACAGAGGGAAAGCTTAAAGCCTCTAACAGGTTCCCAGGTGGCTTCAAGGTGTGCAGGTACCTACAGGAGACAGGCAGACCAATCTGTGCTCAGAAACCCAGGTGAGAGCAGAGCTGGGCTTTGCTGGTTCCTTGGTTTGGGTAAGATGCTCCACGCAGAGGGTTCTGCTTGTGACACTCATGGAAGAGGCGATATTGCACTGGTACTGTCCTTATTGTCTCTGGGAGCAGCCTGTGAGTGCCACAACTCAGTCATATCTCAGTAATCCTGCCCCACCATCAATCTCCTTGCAGACTGAAAGCACCACAACTTGTTGAAATTTTGATTTTACTTTTTTTTTTTTTAACCAGTACTGAAAAGCTCTTCTGCTTTAAAATCCCTAATAATCAAATTCTGCTCATTGTCCTCACATCATGTGGGAGTTCAGCTTCAAAGCCTTTGTGTACAAAGACATGCAAAAAAGATTTATTCCTTTTAATTTTAATTTTTTCCTAAGTGTGTATAAAGTCAAACTACCATCGAACAGACACTGTCATTGGGCTGCAAGGGCAAGCAGTCTAATTTAAGGTCATAGACCAGCTTTGGCACTAAAATTCTTCTGCTTTTAGATGACATGAGGTTGTCTAAGATGTATGTTTAGTGCAAACTTGCATCTAGAAAATTTAAGTAAGCAAAACTTATAAATAATATCTGCATTTTTCTGTTCCTTTGGGCAGCTGAGAGCTTTCAGGTGCACTCTGGAAGTGATGCTGGCTTTTGCCTTTGTAAATACATTTTTGTATGTATTCGATTTCTCAGAATTGTCATTTTTAGAATATTTCACCCTTAAACATGAAGAAAAAAGGGGAAACCAACCTATCATTGCTGTCTGAAGTACTTGTCACATTGCTTGAGGGAAAGCATTTTTAGGGATATTGTAATCCTAACATCATTTAAAGGGTGGATCCCAAATGTTCAGCTTCTTGGCTGGAAAAATGGCTCCCAGACTGCTGAAGTCCTTTCAGTGAGCCATGCCTAAGATCAATGTTGAAACATTATAAACATTATAAAGTGCAGTCCTGTAATCACTTCTGTCCTCATCTTTAGGATTGTTAAATCCCTGGTGTTTTGGGGAAAAATAAGGGCAATGTTGAAACAGCAAATTGTCTTTTTAAACATTATAAAGTGCAGTCCTGTAATCACTTCTGTCCTCATCTTTAGGA